GCCCCTTGGCTGGCAAAGCCATTGTGGAAGACACTGCCAGGCCCGGTGGGCCCCCTGCTTTCAGCGCTTGCCCCTGAACCCCTGCTGGTTGCAGGTGCCATGTTAGGTGCTGGGGACATCAGTGAGCCAGACAGACAGACCCCTGCCCTCGGGGGCCTTGTATTCCCAAGAGAGAAGACAGAGGAGAGGATAATGGGATGTGTGGGCTGTTTAAGGGTGAGCCCTGTTGGGAAGAAAATGGAGCAGAAGAGGTGCAGGGGTGCTGAGGGAGGCAGGCGGGTTGCGACTCTAAAGAGGGACAGAGGTGAAGAGGAGGTGGGGCTCACTGGGGAAGAGCCTTCCCGGCAGAGGGTGTGCAAAGGCCCTGGGGCAGGAGTGTGCCTGGCGCACTTGGGGAACAGCCAGGAGGCCTGGGCTGGAGACAGCAAAGGAGGAAGAGGAGAAGGGTTGAGACAGGCCCTGTCAGGACTTCAGGTTTTCCTTCTCAGAAGGCACAGCTACTGAAGGGCTTGGACCAGTGGTGGGTGTAGCAGGCTCTGGCTTCTGTTTGAAAAGATTGCTCAGGTTGCCGTGCTGTGGAGGACTAGACTGTGGAGGTCACGGGCGGGGAGCGGGGGAGGAGTGGGGGGACGGGCCTGGGAAGGAGCTGGTCCTGAGTAGGGCAGATCCGAGCAGCAGGAAACGCATGGGGGTAGACCAAGCATGTCAAACTCAAGGCCAGCAGGCTGCTTGCCTAAACGAGGCATGAGGCCCACCGGAAGTTTGACGTGCTTGGTGTAGACAAAAGGCCCAAAGATGAGCGCTGTGCCCTTGGACGTGAGAGGATGGGAAGGAGGAGGAGGAGGACCTGGAAACCCAAGGCAGGCTGGGAAGCAGGGGTGTGGTAAGGGGCACCCTGGGTGCCCAGAGTGGGGCGGGGGGCCCCAGGGAGTGGAGGCAGGAGAAAACAGGGTGAAATGAAATGGAGGCCGTGAGTTCCAACAACTGTCTCCAAGCCGTCGCCAGCAGCCAGAGGCGACTTTGGCACCAAGAGAGGGTCTCTTTCAAGATGGGACAGATGAATAACCTAGACAAGGGACAGGGTGGTGGCTGGGCAACATCCTGGGGTGGGTGCGGGGCCAGGCAGTAAAGGAGGAAGCAGGGGCGTGGGGGGACATTGTGTTTCAGTCGGGGTGACACAGGGAGCCCCCCAACCCCAGCCCGGCCGGATCCTCCCCGGCCTTCCCAGAGGCCTCAGCCATACCCTCGGAGTCACTCATCCTTAATGGAGAGTGTTTCCACGAATCCTCTTAGTTTATTTTTTTAAATATATTTTTATTGGTTTCAGAGAGCAAGGGAGAGGGAGAGGGAGAGAGAAACATCCATGATGAGAGAGAATCATCAATCAGCTGCCTCTTGCATGCCCCCCACTGGGGATCAAGCCCACAACCCAGGCATGTGCCCTGACCGGGAATCGAACCGTGACCTCCTGGTTCATAGATCGATGCTCAACCACTGAGCCACACCATCCGGGCTCCTTTTTCTTTAAAATTCTCCTGTTGGAGTGCTTGAAGTCCCTACAGGCCAGGTGGGGGAGGGCAGGGCCTGACTCAGTAGTCAGAGAGGAGGGATCCCAGGGATGCCTGCCACCCACAGGGTCCAGGCAAGTGGAATCTCTGCCCTCAGGGCTGGTGCAGCCCAAGGGGCCTCCAGGGCCTGGTAGGCCTGGCAGCAGCAGCGGCAGTGGGAGGTTCTACCGCAAAGAGGTTGGGACCCAAGGCCTATGGGACACACTGATGGGGCGCTGGGCTCGGGTGTCCAGCTGAGGCCCGGCTGGAGCCCTGCACTGGGACGGGAAGGCTAGGCAAGGGCCAGGGTGGGCAGGGCCAGGCTGAGGGCGCTCCGCAGCCTTCTTCAATGGCCATTGGCCATCCAAGGAGAGGTGAGGGGCAGCAGGCACATACGTCTAGCGCACTGGGGAGGGGCGGACCCCGGCTGTGGACACAGGTGGTAGCAGTACAGGGTGTGCTTGGCATCAAGGCGGCCTGTGGGCTGTAGGCGGCATTGACAGACAGCCTTGAGGGTGTGAGGTCCCTGTAAGAGTGGTAGAGATGGAGGGGTGGCCTGAGGACCCCACCCTGGGACCATCCCAGGCCAGGAGAGGAGCCTGAGGAGGCAGTGAGGGCCCTGTGCTGTGGAAGGGTACTGGTCCCACTCGCTGTGAGGACATCCCTGGCACCCGTGTGCAAGCTCGGGCCTCCCGGGCGAGCATCTCTTAGAAATGTTTGCCACTTCTCACTGAGCCAGTGACTCGGGAACTGACTATGCCTTTCAGCGCTGAGTGGCCTGAACCCCCCACCCCTTCCCCATCATAAGACAAATGCCAACCCCTTTGTTAATAGCCCGAGATTTGCATGCAGGGGAGTGGAACCTGCAGATCAGCTGAAAGCCCCCAGCAGTGGAATGTTTGAGCAGAGGGCCCTGGAGCCCCCTGTTGGTGACTGAGCAACTGCTGGGTGCCAGGTTTTGGCAACAGGCAGGACCCACCCCTCCCCCAAAGCCAGGGACAAGACAGGCATCAAAGTGGGTCTTCAGTTCTACCCTGGAGGAAACTTCCGGTTTAGAGCAGCAGAAGCTGGGAGGGGAGGGTTGACTACCCTTCTTGGGCAAAGACTTGGGAGTTTAACCAGGCACACGGAGACCAGAGGAGGGTCTGAGCAGGGCCCTGGCCTGATCACGTGACCCAGCTCCTAGTGAAGGGATGGGCTCGGCAAGAGGAAAGGGTGTAGCCAGAGTCACGGGATCCTGGCTGGCAAAACCACCTCGAAAGGGCCCCTCAGGGTCAAGGGCAACATTGACAGACAGCAACTTGTTCTCATTTCTGTGACTTCAGGGGTGTGGCCCACCGCTGAAATGGGTATCCCACACACGCACGCAGCCGCAGATGTCGTGGTGGCTTCCCCCTGAATTCTGCAGCAGAAAAGGCCCAAATAGTGAAGTCTATCTACAATGGCTATAAAAAAGGACATTCGGTTTCTTTTTATTAAACCTGGCAAGCGATTCTCGATTTCTGTGTGACCCGGATCTCCGAAGCCAATCTGGGGGGAATTAAGGAACGAGGTGCAAATAGTCAGCCGTCTGCAATCCGGAAGATGTGGCTTCACCAGATTCAGAGAAAATCCTAACCTGATTTTGTATATGGAGGTAGAAAATGCCCATTTTATGCATCTCTTTGGCTCAGTGTTTTGTACGTGAAAGTCTGTGAGGTTTGCCCGGTTTAAAGTGATCTAGGAGCGCCGGGGCAGATGCTGAGGGTTGAAAGGGACTCATTGTCAACGTTGTGATTCATGGTCTAAATGAGGGGGCAGCAAACTTCTCCTTACAAAGGGCTTGGCAGGCCAAGTCTCTGTCCCACCTACACAATGCCCTTGGATCTTGAAGGCAGCCATAGACAATGCATACCTGAAGAGCGTGGCTGTGTACCAATAAAACTTTATTTATAAAACCAGGCGGAGGGCCAGAGTTAGCCCTTAGGCCACAGTTCGCCAACACCTTATCTAAACCAACAAAACCAAATCCTAGAACCTTGGGGCTGGAATGACTTTGGGACTCACATGGTGCTCACCCTCTCACATAGGGAGGGGCTGGCTTCCCCATCCCAGCACAAGGCCAGCCAGCTTGGGCCCAGGCTGGGGGCCAGGAAGCGAGCAAAGAGAGGCAGTAACTCTGTGGCTTGGAAGCCCGATGAGACTTGAGCCCTCGTGTAAGCGAAGGTGGAGCACCAGTGAAGGGAGGGGTCAGAGACCCAGTGGCTAATTCTGGGAGCAGGATCTCTCAGGAGTGGTGCAGGGTCAGAGGGCTGCCTGCGCGGAGGAGCAGGGCATTGTGGGAAGCTCTTCCCTATGGGGAGTTTTGTTGACCTGAGGTCTGCAGATGCTAGCGGGGTGGCCAGGGAAGGAGGCATAGAAAAGTCGGAGTGGATGGAAGGGTCTGCTAAGGAAAAGATGAGCCAGTCAGATGCACTGAACTGCAGGCCAGACGCTGTAAAGAGACACAGGAGCTGCCAGCGTGGATCTGAGCATCTGGACGGGACAGGCTTAGTGGGTGCCACTCAAAAGTGGAGCCATGTTCAGTCTTGGATGCTTCCAGATGGGGGGTTGGAAAGCTCTGGGAGCAGGGCATTTGGAGCTCTGAGGAAGGGCCTGGGCCACAGGCTCTGACTATAGTCAGACGAGTCCCAGAGCCATGTCCAGAGCTAGGAGGTGGACCTGGGGGTGTGGACAGAGAGAAGGGCCAGGGCCAGGCCAGAAGAAGGAGCAGTGGAGGAGATGGGGCCAGAGTAGCCAGCGAGGTAGGAGGGGTCCCAGCATGGGCAATATCCGGGAAGCCAGAAGTTTCCAGAAAGAGGAGCAGTTGGCTGTGTCGAGCATCCCTGAGGGATCAAAAAAGATGGAGACACAAATGCTGCTGAGCTTAGCAGGGACGCTGATGGCTGAATGGTGTGGGCATGGCGGGTGCCAGCTATGGCAAGGAGAGCTGGGAGGGAAGCGAAGAGATCCCTAGAGAAGCCAGGCAGGGGGACCCACTCAAGAAAGGTTGGCAATGCACCCATAGACTTTCTGGTAAGAGAAGGCGTGGAGCCCTCTCCAGCGTTCTCCCTTTTTCGCATCATCTTTCTGTTCCACCAAATTGGAATTCCGATCTGGCTGAGACCCCAGGGGCCACCTAAGCCAGTCGAGCCCCAACACAGGGCAAGGGGAGGTAGCAGCTGCTTCTGTCACTCAGGGATTCCAGACTATCTGCCTGGGTCAGCCTAGGGCAAGCCACCGCCACTCGTCCTGCATGTGAGTCAGTTGACAAGACCGACACCCAAACTGAAACCCTCACCACAGCCAGGCAAGAGCCACCCCAACCAGTCCACTCCAATGGATGAGCATTTGT